CGCCCCCCCCCTACTCCTGCCCATCCTTATCTTCCTCTTCCCAATATCTTGCCCGCGGCCCCCGCGAACCCTCCCCCTATGCATCATTGATGGCGAGGGCGCCAATGCCGTGGCTCAACGCGCCGCCTCCCTCGCCAAGTAAAACGCACAGGGGCGCAAGGAGGCGCAGTCGCGACGGCGCCCGTGCTGACGGCGCAGACGGCGAGAAACAATCGGTAGCCACCGCGCATTACGCATCGATTCGACGACCGATCGAGATAGCAACGACGGCGAAGACGATGCCGACGACCACCTGCTTGATCCACGTTCCTCCTCCTCCTTCTCGTCTCCCCCCCCCTCCTCCTCCTCCTCTCCCCCCTCCTCCTCGCGCCCTCCCCCCACCCTCTCATTCCTCTGGCCTGTCGTCTTGCGCCCCCGTGCGTTCCCTTCAGGCAGTGGCGAAGTTCCCTAGCGCGCCTATGGTCCTACCAAACAATGTTCCCATAGCCTTTTGTGTGTGTGTGATTTGTTCATGGAATGTTCGCGGAGCATTTCTTGCTGGGACTGTCTTGCTTTAACATGTCGGAAGCATGTTCTAAGGGCATCGCTGTTGCATTTCGCACATTTTTCGATTCTACGAGCACTCAGTGGTGGTAGGCCTGTAGGAATGTCGGGGCGGTCGGCCCCTGCTCAATCCTTCGCGCCCCCCCCCCCACCCCACCCCCTCATTTGTCACCCCGCGCCCTTTCCCCGAACAACTTGGTCATCTTCTCGACGCGCCCGTGCTAAATCACTCGGATCAATTGTCGATTTGGCTGAGGGCGCTGCAGCTCGTCGAAAATCAGCTTCGGGGGTCAGGCCGCGCCCCCCCCCCCCCCCCCCCCCCCCCCGGCAGCGCCGAGGGGATGGCAAGGATGAAGTGCACATGAGGATCGGGATAGGGAGAGGGAGATGGGGGATACGGACACGGAGAACACGGACATGGAGAGGGATAGGGCGCGGGGCGGAGGGATTCGGATAGGGGGGGAGGTGGACTACACCAGGAATGATGCATCCTACGCATGGTCCCCCTTACCTCCGTACCTCTGGCTGTCAACCCTGACTGCGCACCCCGCCCCCCCGCCGCGCGCGCGCCCATGCGTGCGTCATTATCCCCGGGAACTTCGCGATCAGCAAGCACCTCCCCGCTTAGGCGGGCTCGTCGACACCATTCGGTCTTCACCTCCATGTTCGTGCTCCTCCCCCCCTCTTTCTCCTCCTGATCCTCCTCTGTGTTCCGCCTCCCTCCTCCCTCCATGCGTTCCTCTTCAGGCCCCTATTCTCCCCCCCTCATCTATCCTGTTGCCTGGCCGCTTACGCGTGCTCATTCCTCTCTTTAGTCGCCCCCCCCCCCCCCCCCCCCACCCCCCCCCCCCCCCCCCCCCCCTCCCCCTCCCCCCCCCCCCCTTCTTCCCCCCCCCCTCGGGCGCTCTCGCCCCGTCAGCCAGATCCGACGCCGAGGAACTCCATGGCATCCTCCCTGGCCTTCTGGCCCTCCTCCCTGGTAGTCGAAGACGCCTGAGCGACGCGGGTGACAACGTATTTGCCGACGATCTTGCCAATCTCCCTGTCGCCCGTGCAGCCCAGCCTCTCCTTGTCGCTGTCGCTCCGCATGTTGCCGCGCAGCTGCGCGATCTGGTTGCCCGCCCCGCTAGTGCCCTTGTTCGCCACGATGCCAGTGAAGCCCTCTGCGTTCTGTTGCGCATGCTGCTTATCCAGGGCTCACCCTGGAAGTCAAACTCCATGCTCGCGCTGCCAGGCGCGTCGTCGATGTGGGGCATCCTCTTTCTCCTCCCCCCCCCCGGCCTCCTCCGCCACCTCGATCGCCGCGTCGCCTTCGGGCGCCTCCACGGCTGCCTCCTCGGCCGCCTCCGCCGCCGTCTCGCCGCCCGCGGGCTTTTTGCCAGGTTGCTGCGCCTCCTCATCCTCCTCCCCCTCCTCCTCCTCGCGCTCCTCCTCTTGCTGGCCCTCGTAGAAGGAGTCGCCCTCTGCTGCGGCCGCGGGCTCCTCTGGCTATGCTTTTGCCTTGCCCGCAGCCGCCCTCGCCTGGCCCGCGGCCGCCGTTGCTTTCGCCTTTGCTTTCGCCCTGCCCGCAGCTGTCGCCTTTGGTTTCGCCTGGCCCGCAGCAGCCGCATTTGCTTTTGCCTTTGGTTTCGCCTGGCCCGCAGCTTTCCTCTTCTTCAAGTTGGCTTCTTTGGCCCCAGCCTCCTCGTCCAGCCACGACGGTGGAGTGGGCGGCACTGGCAAGGCCTCTGCTGCTGCTGGTGGCGCTGCTGCTGGGTTCTCCTCCTTGACGGACTTCTTCATCTTCTCTTCCTCGTAGTTATGCTTCTTCTTCTTCTTTGTGCTGCTGTCCAAGCCGAGCAAGCTCTTGCAGAAAGGCAACCGCTCCGCACTAGCTGGATCTGCGCTCGGGGCTGCTGGCATTGGGCTCGGGGCTGCAGTAGCTGGCTCTGGACTCGGGGCTGCAAGAACTGCCTCTGGACTCGGGGCTGCAGGGGCCGGGGTCGGGGCTGGCCCCGGGCTCGGGGCTGCCTGCTTCGGGGTCGGAGCTGCCTGCTTTGGAGTCGGAGGCGTCGCCGCCTGCTTTGGAGTCGGAGGAGTCGCTGCCCGCTTTGGAGTCGGAAGGGCGGCTGCCTGCAGCGGGGTCGGATCCCGAGGAGTCGCCGCCGTCGCTGGAGCACCCTGATCGTCGGACTCATCCTGGCGGGGGAAACTAGACGGGGGGGCTCCGCCAACTGCTCCAATTCGATGTCGTTTCCCGACTGTTTGTCGATCAACGCGCGCGGAGAGTCTCGGTCGCACTCCTTCTGTGGGCGGGGAGGGTGGGGCACCGTATACGGGGCTATATATCTGTAATGATCATCATGCGCATAAGAACTGGATACCCATTCACAAGGGGGGTCGAATGGATCCGTCGACGGGAGTCGCATCCGAGCCTACGTTTTGCCGAGAAGCAGGAGACTGAGGATGAGGGGCGAGGCTCGACGCGGAGGGGGATGAGGGCGAGTTGGAGGAGGGGTGAGGAGCGAGGACAAGGACGAGGGAGACGGATCCTCGAGGAGGAGGAAGGAGGGGGGAGGGGGGGGGAGGAGGGGGAGGAGGAGGAGGAGGAGGAGGAGAGAATGAGGGGGAGAAGAATGATGACATAGCGTTTCGAACCCAGCGGGCGAGGGTGAGAAGGGGACAACAACATGAGAGGCAAGGGGGGGCGCGGAGGATACCCCTCCTCCATGAAGGACATCTGCAGGTACTCCTGCAACTCGGCCTCGCCGACGACCTCGCCCTCCGCGCATCTGATCGTGATGTCGTCGTTCGCCTGCCCGCGCCCTTCACTCTCTGACATGCTAGTGATGCTGATGACCCCCCTGTCTCTCTGCGTGCCAGAATCGCGCCTCGGCGTCTATATTGCCGTTGCTGTCGCCGCTCGTCCTGCGCGTTCGGTGCCGCCCCATTCCCCACCGCCCCCCCTTCGGGCTCTTTGTCCGCAAGAAGTGCGAGTGCATCGCGCGGATGGTCACAGACTGCAGGAACCCACAGAGGATTGGGATAGAGCGGTTGCCGGGACATTAACAACATGGGGCGCGGATCAGGCGCGGCCAAGGCGACGAGCAGCCAGAACTGCAAGGAGGATCATGAGGTGGGGCACGAGGGGGAATACGAAGGGGAAATCTGGAGTGATGGGGAACACGGAGAAAGATGGTCCAACCGTGATATACCCGCTGCACTCCTAGTCCTCATCATGAGTTCCCATTCCCATCACCCTCGCCACCCATAACACAGATCCTCACCCTTCCTGTCCGCGACCTTCGCATTCACAATTTCCGGATCCCCCCCCCCTCACTTCGGTGACGCTCCTCCGTTGTCAATCCCCATCTTTATTTTGCTTGGCTCGCCTCCATCCCCTCTCCCCCTCTTCCGCCCAGGCCACCCCCCTCTAACCCCCCGCCCTCCAACGTGTCACGAGCCCTCCCCCGCGACATGTCGAAAGAAGCGGGGCGCTGGATACCTGCGCCAGCAACGCGTTTGGCCTGGGGCTTCCGTCCGTGAGCTTCTCGCCAGCCGCCCGCGTAGTTGCCCCAGAAGGCGCTGCGCCAGCCATCCTCGGAGAATCTCTCTTTCATTTGTTTTATGTTTTTTTGTGTTTTTTTTTTTTGTTTGTTCTCTCTCTCTCTCTCTCTCTCTCTCTCTCTCTCTCTCTCTCTCTCTCTCTCTCTCTGTCGATGGTTTTTACTTGGACCAAGGGGCTACAGATTAGCATGTACAGTCAACACGCCTCCAAGATGCGGGCGAGCGCATCGCCTTGCATCTTCTCTGTACTGCGGCTCGAGCCTCCCTTCTGAAGGCTCAAGCTCAAGCCAAAGCGGGCGTCCCCGCCGTGGCTCCCGCGCGCCTGCGCCTGACGCGCGCCCTCGGCTCAAAGGAGCGGCCTCTGGCCGCGCCCTCGCCCGTCTTGGGTGGCCCTCAAGGGTCCTTCTTTCGGCGCGGACCTACCCCGTGCTGCTGAGAAGCGCGCCTAGGTGCGCGCCTAGGCTAGCGTCCGAGCGGAACGCTCGGATGGGCACTCTGCCTGGAACCAGCCGCGCGGCCCACGCCGCTGCAGCCAGCCCCTCACTGCTGGCCATGTGCTGGCCGCCGTCCCTCGTCAGACGGACGATGAGGTCCGCCTTCAAGCCGCTCACTGGCAGCTTCCGCCACCTGAGCTCCTCCTTGAGCTCTGCCACGGTGGCCTCAGCCAGCATCTTCCCGAGGTACTCCGTACCGAGGTCTCGCCCTTCGGCGACCTGCTCAGGCGCAGCTATCGCCGCTGCCCGAGAAACGACATGCCCCTCAGGCGCGTCCTTCGACGCCGCCTCGGGCCTCGCCGTGCCGTCGGCCTGCGGGGCAGCCCTCGCCGCTCCCGCTGGTGGGGCAGCACTCGCCGCCCTCGATGAGAAGAGCTGCACCGCCCCTCTCGTGCACACAACTGCGCCCTTGACCATGAGCACCAGCACGATGATGAACATGATCATGGCGAGAACGATCGAGCCGATGTTCGACTCGACCTCGTCGTCGGCGGCTGCAGAGCACTGCTTGTCTCCATGCTCGGCCGCCTCCGCGAAAGTGACGCCCACACCTGCGGCGAGCCCCTTGGTCAGAAGCCGCAGGTTGGACATCTCCAGCAACTTGAGCACCCGCTTGCCGTCCAGATGCTTGGTCCCCAAGTCGCTCCTGTTGCTCTCCGTGTCGACTCGCCCGAGCTGCAACTCGCCGAGCCTGACTCGTTCCTGCACCCACAGGTCCCGTATCTGTAGATGCCGTACCTTGCCACTGCCGATCCGCGTCGCGATCGCCCTGCCTGCATTCGAGTCGCTGTGAACCTTCGACGCGACCTCGATGCCACACTGCTGGTAGAACTGCCGCATCATGATCGCACTCGCCGCGCCTCGGCCGATGGCATAGAACTCGGCCTCTCCGCTGCTGAGCGCGACGACGGGCTGCGATGCCACCTGGGTCTCCAGGAGGTGGCTGCCGAAGAAGCCATACACGGAGCTGGTCGATTTCCTAGTGATCTCATCCTCTGCCCAGTCCGAGTCCGTCTCGTAGAGAACCTCCTTCGGCATCTCCTGCTTCTCGTAGAACCACCCGAGCTCGCGCCGACCGTGGAGATACCGCACACACCGCCTCAGCCTAAGCATGCTGATGACTGTGGGCTTCCCCATGTCCGTGAGGATCACCTTCACTGCGAACTGGATGTCTGGCCTGTCTACCGCCACGTAGTTGACGAGCCCCGCGACCTGCTGGTAGAGCTTCGCCTCGTCGTGTGGAAGTGGGTCCAGCGCCTCCCGGACGCTCTTGCCCGTGGCCTTGCTCCCAGGCGTGTCCGCTGGCTTGCACTCCGTAAGGCCCAGCAGCTCCACGCATCTCGTCACGTGCTTCGTGTCGCCGATCCAGACGAATCCCTTGCCCGTCCACCTGATCTTGCGCTTGAGGTACGGGAGCTCGCGGACGCCATCCGGCCCGACACGACCGATGCACTTGACGTCCATGCTCGCCATCAGCTGCTGGTCCAGGACATCCAGGGACTCCTCCTCGCCCTCGGTCAGGATGTCGTCACCGTGGATCGCCGAGGTCATGTCCAAGAGAGGCTCGTGGTACACGCCCGCCGCCACCGCGATGCGCGTCCAGTTGTTCTTCTTGAACACCCCGGCCACGTACTCCTGCCAAGCCTGTGCCGCCTTGCGCGTGCCGTACATGGCCTTCCGGAGCTGCCACACGTACCCGTCTCTCCTGAGTCCCGGAGGCGGGATGACGACGATCCACTCGTCGAGGTCGGCGTGGAAGAACGCCACGTGCACGTCATGCACCGAGAGATGCCTCCGACCCTTCTTCGTAGCCGCCAAGGAGACGATCGCCCTGACGATGGCGATCGGCGGCGTGCCCGCGTTGCAGTCCTCTCGGCCGTACGTGTTGATCTCCATGGCTACGCCTCGGGAACGGACGAAGGGGGCGCCGTCCTTGGTGCGCAGGTCCTCGACCCACTTGAAACGCACCACCTTGCCCCGACTCTCGGCCACGCGGACCTCCTCGAAGACGCCGTGTCGCCGCATCTCCTCGATCTCGGCCTCGCGTCCGCGCCTGACCAGGTCCCTGGGGAGCTCCTTCCCGCTCCTCGCGTCGTACACGTGCTTCTCCGCGTCTGGCAGGACCGTGATCGCCGCTGGCTCGACGGGGCTGACCTCGAACATCCCGATCTCCAGCGGCTCGCAGCTCTCGATCTCCGTGACCGTCTCGAGCTCCTCGTGAGACTGCTGGTCTAGGCCCTCGTACGTGCAGGGGTTGATCTCCACGAAGGCCCCGACCGCGAGCGACCCGACTGTGATCGCCGCTGTCTGGCGCGGCCTCTTCGCCGAAGCCTCGCCCTGGTCATCGCGAGGTGCCATGCTGGCATCCCCGGACGATCCTGGCCTGCCGTCTCCAGCTCCAGCCGCTGGCCCCGGCGCGGCTCCAGCCGCCGCCGGCGTCGGCGCAGCCCCCGCCGCTGCCGACGAGGGCGCGGCCTCCGCCGCTGCCCTGGCCATTTCCTCCTTGCGCAGCTCGTTCTCGATCCTCTTCCGGCACTCCTCGCTGTGCGATCCCATGCCTGTGACGCACCTCGGGCACATGGGGGTCCAGCCGTACTTGTCGATCAGCGCTCTCGTGATGTACGTCGACCTCAGCAGCTGGTGGCACCAGCGCCTCCGGGCCCGCGGCTGGCAAGACCACTGGCGGTGGCGGAGGTGGCGGCAGCAGCCGCTGCTGGTTCGGCTCCACCTGGGGCGCTCCCGTCGGCACCATGCCGATCTGTGGAGCTCGGTGCATGTCCCACGGCACCCCAGCGAACTTGTCCAGCTCCTCCAGCACGAACCGCTCGGACCGTGCGTACCCTTGTCGTGCGCGTCGGACCCGCCACCAGGTGCTCGTCCGAGACCTCTGTCTTGCCCAGCCACACCGCCGCGTGCCACCGAGGCTGCAGCTTGGAGGTCGGCGTGGGGTCCCTCGCCCAAACGCACTCCGCGAAGTTGACGAGCTCGCCCCGATACGGCCTCCCCTTGAGCACCTCGTAGGTCGTCTTGCCGTTGCCGTGCACCGTGAAGCGGTTGAGCTGCCAGCCAGCGTGCCGAATGAGCCAAGGTAGAAGCCCATGCTCGGCTGGGAGCTCCCGCTTGTAGTTGTCGCCCACCGAGAACAGCAGCGCCCTGATCTGCTTGCCGAGCTCCTCGTTGGCGCGCTCCACTCCACCAACTCCCTGATGGTTAGCCCGCTGAGCCGACTCGATCATCGTGGGCGCCTTCCTCTGAGCCTTGATCTCCCTCGCCAGGGCCGTGATCGACGCCTCCTGGTCGTGCTTCAGCACGATGCGATCCAGCCCCCAGTTCTCGATGGTGGCGACCGCTGTCTTGATCATGTAGGCGTCGGTACCCTTCGGCCCCATGATGCCATGAATAGCCTGGGAGTTCATGTGCACCATGTTGAGGATGCTCAGCTGGCCCAGGAAGTAGTAGTCGATCTGGACCTCGTCGCCCGTGCGCTCGTGCCCGGCCTTGTAGTGCGGGTCGTCCGTGAACTTGGATCTGACGCACACCCAGCACCAGGACCTCGCAGGGATGTGCACCAGCTCGTGCGTCCTCTGCTCGGCCAAACTTGGCTTCACTGGATCCTTCTTGACTCGGACTGGCACGGACTCCTCGAGCTCTGCCTGCGCTGCTGGCTCGCTCGCCTCGGCCTGAGCGCGAGTCGCGGCAGCCCCTCCGCCGCCGCCGCCCTGGAGCGCGGCCCTCGCCGCTGCCCTGGACGCAGCTGATGCGCCGCCAGGCTCGCCTCCTGGCTCCTCGCCCCGCACCGGCATGACGAGCGAGTTCTTGACGCCTTCACCGTACCTGTCCATCTTGAGGTAGAACAGGTCGTTGCGCCTGACCAGCGGCACGGCGTCTGGGTCCGAGAACTCGATCGGCTTCGGGATCATGTAGCTCCCGCTCGGCGTGAATACCCACGACGTACCCTTGTCGACCGCCTGCGACACGCCCAGCACTGGCCTCTTGACGTCGGCAACCTTGTAGTCCACCCCGATCTTGTGCCCGCCCTTCGTGTACGTGACGAAGCGCTCGCCGTGGCACGGGATGTCGTCGCCGCTCGCTCCGACCAGCCTGATGCGCTCGCTCAGGTCTCTGAGCGTCTCGTGGGCCCCGTGACTCGGCGGACACACCGATCGTGCAGCACCCGAATCCACCATGACCCAGTGCTCATTGATACCGACGATCTCCTTGCTCTCGAACGTCTCGTGCTCGTTTGCTGCCCCTGGCTGGCTCAGCTGCTCGATCGGACTGGCCCCGACCAAGAATGGCTGCCTCGGCTGCGCGTGCTCGCTTGACGCCTCTGGCTGGCTCAGCTGCTCGATCGGGCTGCCTCCGACCAGGGATGGCCGCCTCGGCTGCTCGTGCTCGCTTGACGGCCCGCTCGAACGACGGTGGGTCGCTGTCGTTGCTGGGGCTGAGGGTGTCGCTGCTGCTCCACTCGATGATGATTCTCGCCCTTCTCCCAGCTCTCCCAGCTCGATCGCGAGGCACCACAATGGCTCTGCCCCGCTTTCGGTTGCGATCGCCATCACTGGCGCCGCGCTCCCCGCGGCGCTCGCCGCTGGTGGAGCTCCCGTCGGCTTCGACTCCTGCTCGACTGCGTTGGTGCCCTTCTTCTTCTTCTGCTCTGCGAGGAACTTCCTGCACTCGCTCTTGACGTGACCTGTCTTGTGGCAGTGGAAGCATCGTCTCTCGGCCCTGTCTTTGGCCGCCTGGCTCTTCTGGTCCGTGGAGTTGTCGCCGCCCTTGCCCTTCCTGCCCTTGCCGTCCTTGCCCTTCTTTCCTTTGCCCTTCGACGCCGCCTCGCGCCTCGCCTTCTCCACCGCGCTCGTGTCCATCGGAACTGGTGGCGGCACTGCTGCGATGGCGCTCCTCGTCGAGATCACCATGTGCACTTCGTTGCGCATGAGCTCCCACGTGACTAGCCTCGACGCATTGTGGACCAGATGCGCTCGAAGAGCCTCGTCCTGAATCCCCCTCTGGAGGATCGCCATCTTGATCCTGTCCCCAATCCTCTCGTGGCTCTGGCTCTCGTACTTCGTGACTTTGAAGTCGAAGTCCGCCAGCATCCCCACGATGTTGTCCTCTGGGAACTGGAACGCGATCAGCTCTTGCAGCAGTCCTGCATGGCGACCTGGTCGGTCGGGCTCGTACATGTCTTGCAACGTCCTCCACGCCCGATAACCTTCTCCGACGCCGACTGGCTTGATGAGCTGCAGCGCGGCTCCTTCCAGCAGCAGGACGAGGATGAAGTACAGCTGGCGACTGCGCTGACTCGCTCCCTCCTCCAGGAGTCTCGCGTTCCTCACCTCCTCCAGCGGGAACGTCATGGCTGCTGTCAGCTCGTTGGCCATCTGCTCGTCGAGGGCCCCGAGGTACGCGAGCATCTTGAAGCTCCACCCTGGCCACTCGTCCTCGCTGCCTCCGAACGCCTTCGGCTTCGCCAGAAGCCGAGTGTCCACCAGATCCTGTGGCGCGGCCCTCGCCGCTGCCACGGGCCTGTTCACGGCGGCGCCTGCGCTCGCTGCTGCTGACTCCGCCGCCAGGGCGCGCTCCTCTGCAGCCTGCACCCGTTGTTCTGCAGCCTGCAACGCTCCCTCGAGCGCCTGGAAGCGTCTCTCGATCTCCTCCATACTTCAGATCGAGCTTCTCGTCGAACTTCCTACTCCTCAGGATGTCTGCTTTGTTCGACCTCGAGCCACGCTTAGTCTTCTTCTTCTTCTTCGGCGGCGTGCTGGGCTATGAAGGGCCGGCTGGCGCGGCCCTCGCCGCTGCCAGCCGCCAGGGCGCGGCCTCCGCCGCCGCCCTATCGCGGGCGCGCGCGCCCGCCGCGGTTGGCTGGAAGGGAAGCGGCAGCGGGAACGAACCCACGCCGCTCCGCTACCATGTCGATGGTTTTTACTTGGACCAAGGGGCTACAGATTAGCATGTACAGTCAACACTCTCTCCCTCTCTGTCTATATATATATCCCTCTCTCGCTCTCTCGCTCTCCATGCTTGTGCGTTCTCTCTCTCTCTCTCTCTCTCTCTCTCTCTCTCTCTCTCTCCCTCTCTCTCTCTCATATATATATATATATATATAAATCTCTCTCTCTCTCTCTCTCTCTCTCTCTCTCTCTCTTTCTCTATCTCTCATTCTCTCTCTATATATATATATGTATATCTATATATATATGTATAACGCTCTGGCGATATCTCGCCCCCAATGCTCGCTTGTCTTGCCCCGCCCCCCCCCCCGCCCCCCCCCCCCTTTCCCTCTCGGCGGGTATATCTGCCTCAGCGGCCTTCCCTCATCGACGGGATGAGCATGCCTGTGCACCTATGCACAAGCGGCCATAGCATTAGCATCGCCAGGATCAGCAGCACCACCAGCATCTGCATCAGCATCGTCATCATCAGCACCACAATCCTCATCGCCCTCCTCCTCCTCGCCCTTCCCTTCCCGCCGCCCTCCTCCCACTAGTCCCCGACGCCTCCGCCCGCGCTTTCCTTTCCGCCGCCCTCGTCTTGAGTTCCCGCGCCAGCCCCCCCCCCAATCCCACCTTGCCCTTTCCTCTTCGCCCCCCCCCCCCCCCCCCCGCGCTCCGCCGTGGTCTTCTGCGAGTAGCGCTCGCCCCCGGCGAGGGCGGCGAGGGGCCCCAGCATGTCTTTCTCAGCCTATGGGCGCCGCGGTGCGACGCGCGAAGGGGCCGAGGGTGGGGGGGGGGGGGGGGCCGGAGGTTAATATGGCGATCGGAGGCGGGCGAGCGAGAAGGGTTTGCATGCGACGGTGGAGACGGCGCGGGCGACAGCGGGAGTTGAGGGGGGCCGCGGGGAAGGGGTATGAAAATGAAGCTACATTAAGTGAAAAGGGCATGAGACTCACGGAAGCGCGCGCTCATCGAGATCGGCATCGAGAGGGCGCCCGTTGAGGGTAGGCGAGGAGGAAAAAGGCCACTGGCGCGCAGAGCCCTCAAGGTTTGCAGAGAGCGAGCACAAGCGGAAGACGCAAAGGGAGGCGAGGAGGAGCGGGGGGCGCAGAGGAGGTCGACGACGACGACGACGACGACGAGGTCGACGACGACGAGCCATCAGCTCATCTTCTTTGGAGCGGTCTTTGAAGTCCATCTGGCTGCAGTTGAACTCTGGGAAATTGTGCTTTCCTTCTTCGTAGTCTCGCCGATGGTCGTAGCCGTCATCGTTGACACCGTCGACGTCATCGGCATCGTGACCCCCCTCCTCAGCATCATCATCAGCACCACCACCATCATCAGCATCGTCATCTTCATCACCAGCACAGCCATCATCATCCTCATCCTCATCCTCATCATATCCCCCCTCCTCTCCACCAGATTCATCATCATCACCAGCAGCATCATGATACGCACCACCAGAAGCATCATCAGCACGGGTGCCATCATCACCACCATCAGCAACATCCTTAACATCGCCATCATCACCATAATCACCATCGCCATCGCCATCGCCATCACCATCATCACAACCAACACGCACCATGTTCACCCTCATCGTCATCATCATCTTCAACACTGGCATTTTCGTCACACTCGATATTTTCACGGTCGTCATCACCGCCACCTTCGTCCGCCCCCCCTCCCCCCCCCCCCGCCGATGCCATTGGCAGCATCGTCATCACCGTCGCCACCATCACCATCACCCACTACCCACGATCTACCCTGGATCATCATCCTGTCCCTCGTGGCCATCCTCATCAAATATCCATTTCTCCTTCGTGGGATTCTCATTATCATCCTCATCCCGACCTGGATCTTCATCCGCCACCTCCCCCCCCACTCGCCCCCGCCCCCCCTATCCCCCATGCGGCGCCCCCCCCCCCCCCCCCCCCCATCCATTTCCCCCCCCATCCTCTTCCCTGGATGCGGCGTAGCCTGGCATCATGGCGCGACTCTCGGCGTAGTTCAGCAGCGCCTCCAGCGATGGAAGGGGGCGACGCCGACGACGGCGATTGCGGCGACGAGGAAAGCCCCGGGGAGGAGGGAGGGGGGGGGGCGAGGAGGAGGAGGAGGAGGAAGAAGGGCCCGGCAGCCCTCACGCCATCAGGGGCCAGGAACCAGGAACCAGGAGGATGAGGATGAGGACGAGGGGGGGGGGGGGGCGATCCTGGAGGAGGAGTAGGAGGAGGAGGAGGGGGAGGGGGAGGAGATGGAGGAGTTGAAGGATCAGGAGGAGGAATAGGAGTGGGAGGTGGAACAATAAGAGGCGGACGAGGAACACTGATGGTGAGGATTGGGCGCCCGGGCGATATCTTCGGCGGCGACCCGCGCTGCGGCCTCGAAGCGGAACTCAGTTTCTTTCTTCGGGGCCGCCGCCATCGCTGGGGCGAGCGCCACAGCGCCGCCCGCCTGAGATAAGGCGGGCCCCCCCCCCTCGCGCCCCCCCCCACCCGGCCCCCCCCGCCCATTGGATTGCCATCCTCATTTCTACCCGTCTCACCCCTCTCCCTCCTCGACCCCCCCCCTCGGCCCTCGCCCTCTCGCCCTCTCTCGATGATCCCTCTCCCTGCCCTGTCTTCGGCCTGAGCCGTCGATCCAGGTGCCCGTTGCGGCCCAGAGTCGCGGCGGAGGCCGCGGGCGGTAGATCCTCTCTTCCAGGCTGACCGCGGGCTCGACCCAGACGCACGCGGCGATCCTGATCAGGCGGGCGTGGGCGCGCGGGCGCCCCGGCTGCCAACCCCCAAGCCTGGGGCCCTTGGGGCCTCTCGCACGTGGGGTGGGATCCTCTAAGAACAATCGCCACCGAACTCTTCATTAAGTGCGCCCTGGGCGCCCGATCGCCCACGCCCGCCTGATCCGCTCCTCGTCGATGGGCCCTGGGACGGGCCGGCCGCCCATCCACCCCCCAGGCGGCAACCTGGGCCCGCTCTGGAAGGGCGGGCGGGGGGGGCCATCGCCGCCGCAGCTCATCCCTGAAGGAGCGCTTCCATGGCGGCGGGTGGCGCCGCGGCGGGTCGCCCTGATATCGCGGCGTGGGCCGGGGGCCCCTGGCCGCCAGATCTGCTGGCCAGGGCCCCCAGCCCGCGGGGGGCCGAAGGTCCGCTGGGCCCGCCCATCCCTCTCGCGGACGGCCGCGCGCGGCGTCCGCGAGCGGGGCCGCGAGAGGGTCCGCTCGGGCGGCGAGCGGGCCATCTTGGGCCCGAGGCTGCGTGGCCCTCCTCCTCCTCCTCCTCCTCCTCCTCCTCCTCCTCCCCCCTCCTCCCTCCTCCTCCTCCTCCTCCCCCTTCCTCCCCCTCCTCCTCCTCCTCCTCCTCCTCCTCCTCCTCCCTCTTCCCCCCCCTCCTCCGTCTCTCCCTCCCCCTCCTCCCCCCTCGATCCCCGCCTCGGCGCCAGCGCCCACCGCCGCGCGGCGTTCGCGCTGGGCGCCCTGCCCGCGCGGGGGCCCGCGCGGGCCCGAGCGCGCGCGGCGGCGCGCGGTGGCACGCGGCAGCGCGGAGAGGAGGAGGAGGAAGAGGAGGAGGATGGGGGGGGGGTCGAGGAAGAGGACGGGGCGGAGGAGGACGGAGGAGCGAGGAGGGAAGAGGAGGGGGGGAAGAGCATGATGAGGACACAAAGATGGCTTTAGGAGTAGATCGCGGTGCGCCGCACATGCAATACTCTCTAGCCCGAGCAGCGCGCACGGTGGAAGCTACGTGCTGTTCCACGCGAGCGCGCGCGCCGCGCCGTGTTTCACGCGGGCGCGCGCGGGCCGCGGAAATGGCCCACTCAATTTCTAAAACTGAACGTTGAAAACAAGTTGTTTCACTTGCGTTCTGGGCCCCAGCATGACATCATATTGCGACGCGCGTGCGCCCGCCCTGTTGCGCGCGCGCGGGCGGCGCCATGCGCGCGGACACCGCCGCGCAGAAACGCACGGGCGACACGTGCAACCCCGAAAACTGAATAGTGAAAACCCATTGTTTCACTTGTAGTTCGGGCCTCAACACGAGATCACAGCTAGGTTGCGACGCGATGCGCTCTTCTTCTTAGCGCGCGCGCGCGCGCGCGAGCGGCGCCGTGCGAAATTCACCTCGAAGAAGCGCGCGGGCGACGCGTACCACCCCGAAAACGGAGCGGTGGAAGCCACGCCGACAGCCTCGACGTGGGATCGTGAATGTCGCGGCGCATTGCGCGCGCGCGTGGCCCACCTAGGGCGGGTCTTTCGAGCGCCCCCGATGTTCCACTAGCTCGCACCCTGGGCATTAACGTAGACCGTAGATGCGATCATCCATATACGTTCTACGTAGAACATGGGCACTGGAATATCGTGATTGTCATAGTCGGACTTGTCACGCTTGGACATTACCACGGGGCCCTTGTCAACGACAAACTTGAAGACTTGTAAGAGCCCACAACATGATTGTATCGTGACGCTGCCATAGTCGGACTTGTCACTCGCCAGCGACGAATTGGGAGACTTGTCAGAGCCCACGACATGATTTGCTAAAAACCAGAAATCACGACATAAAACACTCACGACATCAAAACAAAACTCACGACGCGCCAAGTAAATTCTGCAAACTCACAACGAACAAAAAAAACACGACGTTTGAGGCGTCGTGAAATTCTCACGACGGTGGAGGTCAGGGGGTCGCGCCGCTTCTTCCTGTCCGGGCAGCGGCTCTGGTGGCCCCGCCAGATGCGGCGGGAAAGGCCTCCGCGACGCTGACTCCGACCCTTCTCCGCGCCCCCCCCCTCCTCGTTCCCCCCCCCCCACTCCCCTTCCCCCCCCCCTCCTCCTCCCCCCCCCCGCCCAGGAGTGCTGGCGACGGCGGGCCCCATTCTGGAGTGGGCTCGGGCCTGGCAAGAGATCGACCGCGACCCTAACATGGAGGAGGGGTTGACCACTGCCTGGAAAAGATGGAGCATCAAGGTTGCACGGGCCAAACACCCGTGGCAAATCGTAACAAGTCCTGCTGCCGCGTTCATCGTCACGCTGCGGAGGATCGGCTGGTGCTCGCGCTCGCCGCGGTCGGTATTCACTGGCCAAGCTGATCTCGACCTGAGGCAGTTCCCGCTGCGGGATCTCTTTCATCTGGTCAAGGCTGCCACCCAACGAGAGCTCCTGCAGGCCTGGCTGGCCAGGTGGGGCGAAGAGCTGGGGGCAGGCCGCGGTCCGTTTCTCGCCCCGGTGCGCGCCCTCTTGCAGCGCCGGCTCACCAGGTCCTGGACCCGAGAGCATCAGACTCGCGTGCGCCAGGTCTTCTGCGGGGGCTCTTGGGCCCCGGACCGTCTGTTCGCCAAGGGAGTCGGTGAAAACGATGTGTGCCAGGCTTGTTTCGGGGCGGTGGGAATGGAGCGTCATCGCACTTTCCGCCGCCCCAAGCGCGCCGAAATTCGGAACGGGGTCGGGGGGCGCCGCGCCCATCAGAGAGGTGCGAATCCCTGGCCGGGCCACGAGCATTTGTGGGGGAGGGGCATTTGCGAGGACCCCAGCTTTTCCCTTGCCCACCTCCCGCCCTCCCACGAGGCCGCCACCGAAGGCCAGTGGGGCGGGTGGGTGACTGGAAAGGTTTTTGCAGACGGTTCCCTGCTCTATGGAGCCTACGAAGGCATCGAGCGAGCAGGGTGGGCATTTGCCGCGCTGGGCGAGGCGGGTGCCTTTGAGCGCGCCACTTTCGGGCCCCTTCCCCTCGAGCAATGGCAGCAAACGATATTCGCGGCCGAGCTCTGGGCAGTGTATCAAGTACTGGTTGTAGCTGTCGTTCGTTCGAGATATATTCAGACTGTCAGGCAGCCGTCGAGGGCTTCGCTAGAGGCGTAGCGCGGGGTCACAAGCCAGATATAGCAATGTCTTGGCTGCGGCAGAAGCGTTGGCACTTGATCGGGGAGCTCGGGGGGGCTCGGGCTTTCCGCGGTCACCGTAAACAAAGTCAAGGCTCACGCGACTCGGGCACAACGCGCCGAGATGGGGGCCAGGCTTTGGGTAGGAAACGCGGCGGCAGACAAGCGCGCCAAGCTTGGAGCTCAGATGTCGCAGCACGCTGATGGGCAAAGGAAGGCTTACATTGAGAAGTTTAAGCTAGTCAGTGACATTCTCGAATTCGCGGCTCGTGTCGGGGGGGGGGGGTCCCATGAGATTAAGGACACGTCCAGGGAGAAAGCCCGGGCACCCCCAGAGCCCGACGGTCCGCCTGACGAGGTCCCACCACCACCGCCACCTCCTCCCCCTCGGAGCCTTCCTCTCCTGGTCGAGGAAGTGGATGGTGACCCGCGGGGCCCCCTCATAAATCAGGCAAGGAGCATGGGCCATCATATTGTGACCCGCGCCTCTCACGTGTTCTGTAAACGCTGCGCCTGCTACGCAAACGCGCGCTGGCTGGCCCTCAAGCAGCGCTGCAAGCCCGGGAGTTCAAGGGCTGTCGGAGGGAGGCTGTCAAAGTTGCGGGACGGACGCCACCCGACTACAGGCCACCCCCTCTAGCGCAGCGCGCCCTATAGCTCGGACAGGCCGCGCGTAGCCAGCGCGCGCTCCCCGTCAGGGCCCCTTACACGTAAGGCCCTTAGCGCAGCAGGAAAATAGTCCTCCTCCTCCTCCTCCTCCTCCTCCTCCTCCCCCTCCCCCACCCCCCTCTTCTTCCTCCTCCTCCTCGTCCTCCTCCTCTCCCTCTAGGACCGCGGGGGCGCCCTTCTCGGGCCGACTGGCTTATCGCCGCTTCGCCCCTCTTCCCGGCCCGTCGCCGGACGCCCCCCCGCCTGCGACGGGGTGCCCCGTGCAGCGCCTGAAGAGGGCCGCGCAGACCACGGGGCCCCTGCGGAACGACCGGTTGCAGTGAACCAGCACGTCCCTTCCGCGGCGGAGCACGTCGAAGATCCCGGGCAGCTCCTTGTTCAGCGCGTCGTTATCCGTGAACTCGTTGCCGCGGGCGTCCACCGCGACCCACTGACCCACCTGGCTTTTCGCCGTGCCTGGGTAGCGGAAGGGCTCCCTGCTGCGCGTGGCGTTCACGACCGCCTGCACGTTGCTGGGCCCCCCGTCCGACCAGTAGGCCTCCTTTTCCAACTGGCACCGCTCCGCCAGGATGAAGGAGCCCGTGAGGAAGCTCGCGCCGCCCATGCAATTCGCCTGCACCACAATGGGCCCCTGGCGGCCGACGTGCCACGCCATGGCCCCACCTGGCTTTCGGCCGCCAACGGTTTGGAGCCGTCTCGTGCGCGCCTGCTTGGGCCACAACGGCTAGGGTCGGCCGTTTCCGTTTCATTCCTCCCGCTCCCCCGCCCGCCCCCACCCCCCAGGAAGGGGAGGGGAGCAGGAAAAGGCAGTGAGAGCCCTGCCGCGGAACGCGGAAAAGAGAAACGGCGATGAGAGGAGGTGTAGACGGACGAGGCACGGGGAAGGAACCGAGGGTGGAACGAGGGACGGAGGGAGAAATAGTGAAGGGAACGGAAGGGGGAGAGGGACGGGAGGAGAGGGAGATCAGTGAGAACAAAATGAGGCAAGAAGAGGAGGGGGAACAGGGAGCGAGGAAGGAGGAAGGAGAAGGAAGAGGGAGGGAGGGAGGAGACAGGAGAAAGAGGGGGGAGTGAGGAGAGAGGGGCGAGGGATGAGAAAGACGCGAGGGGAAGGGGCGGAGGGATTGAGGGGCGGAGGGAGGGAGGGAGGAGGGATTGAGGGGCGGGGGGACGCAGAGACAGAGAGAGGATGAAAGGAAAGGAGGACGGGAGCTCTAATTGTCCGTCCACCTGGCTTTTCGTCGAGGGGGGGTGGGTGTCCCCTTTCTTTTGAAAAGAAGTGACTGACAGAGGGCGGAAGTCCGACATCCTACAACATTATCACCCGACAGCGCCTATCGACACTCCTGGAATCCAGCCATGGCTCGGACGCTTGCTGTGTGCCCACGTATCCATATCGCGCGCGGCTGTAAGTGCAACGCGTATCCACAAACATGATGAAACGCAGGTAGACAATCAGTCGTTCCACATATCATGTCTCCATGGGCGACACTCCACCCATGAGTACGGATTGCTGGCTTACTTTGGGTGGGTACGCTTTACAGGTTTGATGGATCCTCCCAATCCCCGGGGGGGGTGGGTCCCAGGAAGGGGGGGTCCTCCTCCTCCTCCTCCTCCTCCTCCTCCTCCTCCTCCTCCTCCGCCTCCCCACTCTGGTCGTCGTCGATGTCTGTCAGGATCGGCGGCGCAAGCCGTCAGCCCTTCACAAAAATGCCAGGGTGTCCCGTCACAGGCCGTCAGCCCCAGAGATTGTCCGCGAGACGTGGCGGTCGTGATCGCGTTCTCGCGGGCCGGGGCATCGTGCCGCACCCAGGCGCAGAGACCGCCCGTCCTGCTCCACCTCCACCGTTGTCGCCTCGTCATCGTCTGCCTCGCCTCGACGAGGAGGAGGGGGAGGAGGAGGAAGAGGAGGAGGAGGAGGAGAAGGAGGAGGGGAGAAAGAGAGGGAGACAAAGGTACCCATACAGCTACCCTTCCTCCGTTTCCCCTTTTCGGGCCTCCTGGGAGGCCCTCGCCGCAAACGCTGGATCCACCTCGAGATTCTGGCCAGAACGCACCCCAGGAGAGTTCCTGGGAGTAGCGGTATCGGTACCATTTCGTTTCCCCAAGGGCGAGGATCAGTTCGGGTGAGGATGCAGTGGAGGCCCATGCCAAGAAACACCCTGCTTGCCTCCAGGGTGCCCTGGGTTCCTTGGGTTTCGATGGTTTTGCTGTGGAAGGCGTGGCGTTCGCACACCAGCAATCAATGGACGTCCTGGGGTCCCAGGGCTGGGAGTCTTATGGAAGGCTTCTTGTGGACTGGCCTCCACTGTAGTCCTCGTCCACGTCCACCTCATCTCAGACTCAATGATCACAATCACTTTGCTGGGATGCCTGAAGGATCGCGGCAAGCGGTGGGAGGATGCTAGGCGAAGGCCTGGTGCGCGCGGCAAACCAAATCCATGTCCTGCTTCAACAGGAACGTAGCCACCTCTGGAGCAGGAGGATCAGAAGGAAGAGGCGGAGGGTGAGGCGGAGAGTGATGCGTCTACGGACTCTGCGTCTACGCTACCACGTGACTCTCAGTAACCGAGGGTCCATTACACTGGGCCGCCACTCACAACACCTTGAAAGAACTGCTGCAAAACCGCACGCTTGCGATGAAAGAGCGGACTGAGGAATGCTTTGAGCAGGACGGAATGCGGACATAAGAGAAAGATGGTGGACAGAAAATCGACAACGAGCACGAGGAATAGGGATTATCCAACCTGCCATTAGAGAAGGGGTGGAGGGTGTGGCACGCGCTCCTTCAAGCACCTCCCAAGACCTCAGAGCCCCCAAGTCCACTCTCCGTCACCTCCAAGATGCTTAAGATGCCCTCGAAGGAGGCTCGAAGGCGCTCCCATACGTCTAGCAGGCATCGATCTTAAAACGAGAGATCCCATGGCAGTGGGCCCAAAACTGGGGCCCAACCACTCCCCGAGAGAGCTCGCTGCGGAAGGATACACTGGGACACGCCGCGGGGGCTGGAAACTTTCAATAGCCTCATCCCCCCACCCACCCTTGTCTTAGGTCGAGCATGCCCCCCTACAAGCGAATTTTGGACGAGAACAAAAACCCAACAGGTACTAAACCAATGCTAACACATAATACCAACAAAAATGTCCCCAGACTATGTTTGACTATGTTGGGATGTTCCTCCTGTAGAGGGACAGGCCCGACTTAACAATAGCCTCATCCTTAGTGGGCCCTGGAAACGACAAGGCAATTTTTTACCGGTTCCGTTTTGCCGTTTTTGTTCCGGTTCCGACGCCTTTTTTTTACTGGTTCCGTCGCCGTTGTTTGACCGGTTCTGGCTCCGGATCCAGTCCTGGAGCCGTTTGTTAGCTGTTTCCAGTCACCGTTGTTTTGCCGTTTCCATTGTGAAAGGACATTTTTCTGGAAACGGTGATAAACGGCCCTGCCGTTTCCGGGGCCCACAAAGGCCTCCTCCCCCCACCCACCCCTTGTCCTCCTCCTCCCCCGCACGAGCGACAAAGGCCAACGCACTCGGACCCAGTCCCGCAGCCGACGCATGCCCCCCCCGAAACCACATCCAGTGCCCAGCACCTTCAGGCGCCGTGGCCGGGCGGTGGCGGCACGCGGTCGCGCGCGGCTCGCCATCGCCCCGACGTCCGTTCCCCGTGCATTTGTCAGCTTCGTGCCTGCGCTTCTTCTGCAAATGGTCCAGACTTCTCCTCGGAATGGGGGGACCAAGGAGTACGGATTGCCGCTACTCCTCGGACCTCCTGACCAGAACTTCGATGCGAACCCAGCGGTGGCGACGAGGGACTCCCGGGAGGCCCCCCAAAAAAGGAAGAGCGAGGCACGGGTAGCGGTATGGGTACCTTTCCCTGCTCTCATCGCCGGTCCTCGCCGAAGGCAACAACGGTGCACACGTCCGAGCGGTGCCGAGGCGCGTGGTCTCGTCGGCTGGCCCTCCCCCCCCCCCGGTCCTACCACGTCGGGCCCGAAGATGAACGAGACCTGCGCAGCCCGCCCCCGCCGCGGCAGCGGGTGGGCGACGCGGGTCGGAGCAGAGCGCCCCGTGGAACGTGCGACGGGCACTTGGCACGACATGCGGGCAAGATTCATGTCCACACCCTGCGAAATGCTTAAGAAATCATGGGTTAAGAAATTCATAGTCTCAGAACTTGAATAAAAACCCAACATTTATATTATAATCTTAAGATCTACATTGAAATATTAAGAATAATCGAGACTCTAGCCGAAAAAATAAGTTTTCTTAAGCATCGCATAAGGTGCATATCCAGTGCCTCTTGGACTTTTTTGGAAGCGCCGCCACAAGGCCAGGGCGCACTGGATATGGACAAAGATCGAGCCTCTAGGGGGCAAACTTGTCCATGTCCAGTGCGCCTCGGGTTTATTGGGAAGGGAGCCCGGAACTCCATACTGAAGTGGATATGGACAGACGTATTGTCCGCAGCGACGGGCACGTGGCACGACGGGTCCGTGCAGCGTGGCCCCGGCAGGCCGCAGAAGAGCGGTGCGCTCGCGAGCAGACGACGGCTGTCCGATCGGTCCCGTGCGAGCACGCTGTGCGCTTTGCGTACAGTGGGGGCTCGGCAGGAAGAAACCTTCAGCGCCCCTCACACGGGGACTCCACTAACGCGTACTTTGGCCAGTGACCCAGCGAACTCGACCCTTCCCGGTGTGGGCAACGCTGCAATGCCAGAAAAAGACCCTAAAGTGGCAACTTTCGGCAACATTTCAAAAAGCCCGTTAGAAGGACCCGTTACGGTGCCGTTGAAACCTCCGCAAGACACCCAACCTGGAAATCCGTGATGTGTTCAGTGAAAATCAAAAATTGTCGATCGGAAATCGTCCAGATCTTAGTGTGGGCGCATCGGAGTCCAAGAAACCCAGGGCACCCTGGCAAAATCCGACTGGTTTCCTGGCACACGCCCCCACTGTACTCGCATCGATGCTGCCACATGTAGTGCGTACACACACACACACATGTAGTGCGTACACACACACACACACGTTCTGCGAGCACGTGCGCCTAAGAGTACGAAGGCCCAGAACTGAGAGTAAAGAGATGTTGCAAGGATGCCGATGCTGAGGACACACAGCAGCGAGGGCCAGCCGAGGTAGGCATGAGGGAAACAGATGGCGAATCGAGAACCAGCAATCCCGTAGACGGCGGGAAGGGAGGGAGAGAGAGAGAGATGGAGAGAGAAATGCGGGGAGAGGGAAACGAGAATACACCTGGACAGAGATACAGAACAACAATGCGCAAGAGCGTGGGCAAATATACATCACAATCACTCCTGGCAATAGGCCTCCACCCAAAGGTGGTGCAAACAGCGTTGCCTTCGCGACCGCTGCTCCATCCCGCCTCACCCATCATCCCGTTTATGCTGTTCCTGCTCCTGCTCGTGATCGAGATCCTCCTGATCCACTCCCCTTCGCCTTCTCCTCCTCCCACTCCGCATGCTTCGCATCCACAAGTCTAGGTTGACCCTGAGTGGCAATGGTGCTGCCTGCACCGCGGGGGTGCGCATGTTTACGGCTTTCGTGCAGAAGACGCCTTCGACCTCAACGGACCGCTTCCACAGTGACGCCCGCCAAGGAGGAAGACCAGGGGAAGGAAGAAGGGCGCATCTCGTCAGGCACCTCGGTGGCTCTCTATGAGGTTAATGGTGCTGCTGAGTCACGACCAGCTCGACGTGTCTATGCGAAGATCGCTCCTCTTGCTCGTCTGGGCGGCGATAGTGACAGATGCGCTGCTGCGCCGCCGCCGACCCAGAAGCATTGCTGTCCCGGCTCCATTTCGAATAGCAGTGTCCCGCCAAACCTTGCATTGGATTGGAGAACACTTGCCATTCACACGCTGGACACGCTCTGCGGGAACAGGCAAATGCCGTCTTTGCGATGGCAGCGGTGTTTGTCCCGCAGGGTACTTACTGGACGGCCGCGGATCTGCATCACATCACTCTTCTGACGACGACGCGGCCGTCCTGATGCGCCTTACCAGGCACATGTAATATCGACGATGTGTACACGAAGGCGTCGGGTCACAACAAGCTTCTCTCTTTGAAAGGAGGGTTGTTCAAAATAAGTGGCGGGACATTTCCGCGAGATTTCCTGATCGGTCAGTCCAGATATCCAAATCGGTGTAACTCGCATGTCCAGATTCTTCTGGGGCGGCCCCTGCGCGTACGCCAGTGGAAGCAAGGACCGCCAAGTGGGCTCATCCGAATGGTGTGTTTTTTTCGAATGCTTGAGAGCACGTCCAACGCCATGCTTCTGGACATGGCTGCGCGCCACGGTTGCGGGGATTCCGCGACCAAGTGCGACACTGAGCGCCTCCTCCATCGGGCGCGGCAAGACACCCTCCTCGGCTGCCAGGCCCCCCGCAAGCTCCGCTAATGGGCGTGTTTTCCACCACCACCACCACCACCACCATAAGTTGAAGGGGGAAGGAGGTGGCGGATGAGGAGGATGAGGAGGAAGAAGAAGAGGGGGAGGAGGGCCTCCTCCCCCCTCCAATTTATGGTGGTGGTGGCGGTGAAAAAGAGGCCCATCATCCGCGCCAGCGCATCAGAAACGCCACCGCCACGGCCAGCCAGTGCTGCTGCGTCGGGCCCAACCGGGATCCCGGAAGAGGGACTGCACGACCCGCGCACGGAGCCCGCCGCAGGAATCGCACCTGCGCCCCTTGATGCCCTCGACGACACCTTCCGCCTCGAGTGCTTGGCTTGTGAAGGGGAACTGAGACACACAAATAAATGTACACAAATAAAAATATCCTCCATATTTTCCCATATTTTCCGGGTTCCTGTCTTCCCCCCCACTCCCCATATTTTCCCAAATTTTCCTGGGAGTCGACGATGAATTGTGTCTGTGTGATTCTTTTCCTCCTGAATTTGATGCCCTCGACGACACCTTCCGCCTCGAGTGCTTGGCTTGGGCCAGCGACCACTTCAAGGTCCACGTGCATCGTGGTGCTGGCCTCGGCGACCGAGAGGGAGGCCGCGCCGCCGGTGCGGACGCTGAGGGCATTCCCAAACGGGCCGCGCGCTCCCGCACTCCTCCCCCGTCTTCCTCCTCGATCCCCTCGTCAGCATCTGGCATATGCCTCCCTTCCTCCTTCATATTCCTTTGTGCTCTTCGTCCTCCTCGCCCTCCTCTTCCCACCTGCCTCGTTGTGTTCACTTCCCGCTGTCTCCTCACCATTCGCCTCCTCTGCTCCAGCTCCTGCTGATGGTGCTCCCGCTGCTCCTGCTGCCCGTGCGAATGCTCGAACACGTGGTACTCCTGGTGCGGCTCCCCCTCGTCCGCCGCCTCCTCCTCCTCCTCCTCCCTGGCATTCCCCTCGTGCGCACACGTCTCGCCCGCACCCTCCGGACAGCATCCCGCTCGCCTCGCACATGTTTCGGTGTCGTGCGTGCTTTGTTGCCACGTCTTGGAGGATGCTCCTCGATGTTCCTCGCCGAGAGAAGTGCACACGTCAGGGCGATGCCAAGTCTCTCTCTCTCTCTCTCTCCCCCGCAATCCCCCGCGACCATACCCCCCCCACCCCTCGACCCCGCGGTCGTTCTCGGCCCAACCAAAGATGTCCTTGTCGGGATCCGCCCACAGCAGGTCGCAGATCAGACCTGCACGCTCCAAGCACGGAAGGGCGGGCACAGCGGCAGCGGAGGAGGAGGACGACGGGGGGAGAAGATGAGAAGGATAAGGCCACAACGGGGAGAGAAGGGAGGGGGAGGGCAGGGGACGCAACGAATGGACAAGCGCGTTCCACTACTCGCAGAGAATCTACTCGCAAATGTCCTGGGGATCCGCCACGCATGAGTGACGATTCGTTACATGGAGGAATGCATGTTTTACTCCAGACGTTTGCGAGTAGGCACCTTGCGAGTGGTGGAACGCGCCCTGTGAACGAAGTAACAGTTGTGCCCGCCTCGCCAAGCCACGATGGCTCCGTCAGCGGCGCCGCGGCGCAGAGGGGAGCCACACAGGCCGTCCCAACGGGGCCTGGCCCAGCACCCTTCCCCGCGCGGGTGCTGCAGGAAGGGGCCGAATTGCCTGGAGAACGTAGAACTGTGCAATCAAAGGATCGGGTCACTTTAGCCCAAGGACAATATATACACACACATTATATATATATATATATATATTCTTTTTTTGTCTCGCTTTCGTGAGTCAGTAGGGCGGAGGAGGCGACTCCATGGGCACTACGGCTCCAGGGGGCAGCAACGTCCACCCCAGAGGGCCGTGCTGAGGAAAAAATTGGAATCGATGATGCCCGCTGAGGAAGGTGACACATGATCGAGACACCGAAAGGCAGTGGCTCTCATGCCAAGAAACAGGTGTTCGCACTGGCCTTTCGCTTCCGAGTACGAGGTGCGCAATTCGCACAAACGTCAATGACACACGCGATGACGTCCACCCTGGACTTTTGGTGAAATGCTCTGTCCTAGACTGTGTTCACAGCCCCGTGGCAGATATCAGATCGCTCCGACACCAGCGTGCGGCACTAATTTAGTTCGATGCGTTGTCGCTCTCAACGAAGTCACGTAAAGAAATCAATCCAACCATCCTGGCGTGGCTGTTCTAGCGGGCTGATCACTCCGTGTCTCCAAATCCCCTTCTTCAGATTCGGGGAGGAGCTTATCCCTGCAATTGCTTGGATAACCACAGACGCCTCCCACCACCACTCGCCTGGCGACAAGCAGTGGGGCCATGCCACCCCCACCAATCTTTGCAAGCACGAAACACCAAGCACGTTGCAACACAACCTGGGCCATGTTCGGGCGCCCCGCGATCCCTTCACACTGTTGTTTTTTGCAGGGGCGGGGAGGGATTATCAGATTTCCCCGCTGGTCACAATGTTTGTTGTAGTTATCCCCGCTGATCACTATCGGAATTATCAGACTTCCCCACTGATTTCCCCTCAGTTATCAGGGCGTGTTGTTTGTTGCAGGCGCACAACAACCATCCCTGCAAAATACAAATGCAATAAAGACGGTGCAAGAAAAAATATCGGACCAGGCGCGGACGACCCGCGATACATTCGCAGGCCCCTTTGACGGGGGGGACGCCTTGGTGTGCGCGGCGCACTTCGCGGACGTCGCGCACCTGGCTGGCGCCTGCATTGGTTCCCGATGGTTGCCGATGGCGGCCCCTGTCCATGCTGAGACTCCGGCGCGACCTCTGTGGTTGGAGAGCGGGCGTGGGTGAGCCAGGCAGCTTGCGGCTTATATGTACGTTGACTCCTCCACCTACCCCCCCCGACCCTGGGGTTTGGGCGGCCCCACTCGAGGGGGCAGATTGCGCCCTTTCAGGCCCGAGATGATTCCGAGGACGTCCCCGATGCCCCAAAACGGTCACCGATACGGATCGAGATGTTGTTCCAGATCGCCTACATCGTGCAGTTTCGCCGTCAGGTCATTTCGCGCACGATGGGCCTGCGAGGCCGCTCCAGAATGGCCCAGACGGGCCAGAGTGGGGGCACAACAAAGACCCAATGCGACCCCAGGAGCGCCCTGATAGCTTCTCAAGAGCGCCGGAAGAGGGCCCGAAGAGGCGGCCTTGAGGGCTCGTCCAGAGCCGTGCTGGCGTGGAGGACCCGGCCCCTTTGTTGGTCGATATTCTCCAAGGTGGCCACATGAGGCCCCCAAGGAGCCACAGAGAATTATCCTACCCCACCTCAACAAAGACACTGCCGAGAAAACCCACAAATATATCAGATACTACGCATGAGCCATTGCCACTACTACTACTACTACTACGACTACTACTACTACTACTAATAATAGTCATAAAATGAAAAAACTGCTACGACTATAACTACTACTACTACTACTACGACGACGACTGTTATTACTACTACTACCAGTATGACTACTACGACGACTACTACGACTACTACTACTACGACGACTACTACTACTACTACTACTACTGTTACGACTACTTCTACTGATACAACAACGACTACTATGACTACGACTACGACTGCGACTGCGACTGCGACTACGACTACGACTACGACTACGACTGCGACCACGACCACGACCACGACCACGACTACGACTACGACTACTACCACTACCACTACCACTACTACTACTACTACTACTACTACTACTACTACTACTACTACTACTACTACTACTACCTCTACTACTACTACTTCTACTTCTACTAGAACACCTGCTACTACCCCTACCACTACTACTACCGCCACTACTACTACTAGTACTACTATTACTACTACTATTACTACTATCACTACTACCACTACTACTACCACTACTACTACTACTACTACGACGACGACGACGACGACGACGACGACGACGACGACGACGACTACGACTACGACTACGACGACTACTACTACTACTACTACTACTACTACTACGACTACTACTACGACTACGACTACGACGACGACTACGACTACGACTACGACTACTACGACTACGGCTACGACTACTACTACGACTACTACCACTACCGCCACTACGACTACTACTACTACTACTACTACTACTACTATTACTACTGCTACTGCTACTACTACTACTACTACTACTACTACTACTAGTACTACTACTACTACTACTACTACTACTACTACTACTACTATGACTAGTACTACGATTACTACGACTACTACGACTACGATTACGACTACTACTACTGCTACTACTACTACTTTTACTACTACTACTACTACTACTACTACTACTACTGCTACTACTACTACTACTACTACTACCACTACTACTACGCCGACAACGACGACGACGACGACTACTGTTACTACTACTCGGCAACGGCACGGCTTCCAAACCTGCGCCCAGCCCCCGGCACAGCCTCCACACCTCACCTTTCTCCAGGGGGCTCCTGTAAATGTGCCACTTCATTCCTAGAATTTTGGACGGAAAACAAACAACAACAAGAAGATGTATATATGAATCCCTGTAAAGATCTCAAACAAACATCCACCCCCAAACGGCCTCCACACCTCCACCGCAAAGATCCTCGAGAAATACGTGTTTGATCCTGTATGTAATCCTACAGGTCCTAAGAGTCAAGCGTGTTATCCTACAAACTGCAGCATGTAATCCGACAGGGTCCTATATGCAATCCGAATCCTGCACAATCCGATATGTAATCCTACGCGATCGTATACATAATCTTACAAAATATTGTATGTAACCCTACAGAATTAAAAATGATCCGCTATGTCATCCTGCAAGGTCCACTCTGTAACCCTACAGGATTCGATGTGCATTCCTACATGATCCTTGATATAATCCAACAGGGTCCGATGTGCAATCCAACAGGATCCTAGATGTGATCCTACAGGATCCTGTTTTGCAATCGTATAAGATCTGAAAGAACACGTGCTGAATCATGGGATCCTACTTGTACGCTGTGGAATCCGACATGCACCCCTAAAGAATCCGACGTGCACCAAAATGGAATACTACGTGTATCACAATATAACTGTACGTCTATTACTATAGATTCCGACGCGCACCCACATCAATTCCTACGTGCGTCCCAATGGAAAAATACGCGCATCCCTGTGGAATCCTACGTATATCTATCTGTATAGGATCAGATGTGCAACATCATAGAACCGGCATGATTCCCTATACGGTCCCATCTGTATCCCTATGGGGGGTCTTATGCCCATTACAACATAGCCTTATATGTAAGATCATACGTATACATACCCATACGCATGCGTATATATGACCATACGTGAGCTGTGGTATCATACAGGTGCATTCATTTAAGTATAATGGGATACCATACGTGCGCATTCGCATACATGTACATTACTGCATGCGTGCACATGTACATTCACATGAGCGAAAAAAAGAACACCAGGGCGTGCGGCCCCTTCGAAGACACCGGATCTGGCCGAAACCGCCGTGTTTCCCAAGAGCGACGCCCTCAACATCCCGAAAATGGCTGGCCGAGGTGTGGAAGCTATTTGGGGCTGAGGTCCCGTAAGAATCCTTACAAGAGTTCCTATACGAATCCCTATGGGAATCCAGAGTGGGAATTCTCATAGAAATCCATACAGGAATCCCTACAGGAACCCCGATGGGAATCCCTATGGGGATCGTCATGGGGATCTCTATGGGGATCCCCACAAGAATCCCGATGGGAATTCCAAAGGACCGACCCGGCCGTGGATGCCGCTTGGGCGACGCCACGGTCGAGGTTCACAAGAGTCCCACACAGGAAGTGGCCGAGGTGCGGAGGCCGCTTGGGGGTGCAATCCTACAGGAATATGTATAGGAGCTGCCCATGGGAATTCCCAATCGGACTCCCTATGGTAATCCCTATAGGAACCCCACAGAAATCCCGATCGGAGTCCCAACAGGAACCCCGTAGGAACACATCTGAGAATTCCGATTAACATCCTTATTGGGGATCCCGAATCCTGATGGGATGCCCTGTAGGAGTCCCCATCGGTATCCTTGTAGGGATCCCTATGCGAATTTCCAAAGGAATCCCTAAGGGAAACACTAGGGGAATTCACACATGAAGCGGCCGAGGTGTGGAAGCCGTTTTGGCGACGCCCACATGCTCGGTTCACAAAGAGTCTCACACAGGAAGCGGCCGA